TCAGTGATGTCAGATGAAAGTGGGCTTTAGGAAACACAGGAGCACAGAAGTAGGAGCTCTGACTATACTTCTCCTTTAAAGTATATGCAAACCCTCCCCTTGTAAAAAACATTTGTGTATACCTAAAAAACATTATAAGTAGCTTTCCCCTTTTTTATAAGTGACCACATACCCTCTGTTCTCAGCCACATGAGGTGAGAGGTGAAGTGAGGGAGAAAAAACAGCAGTACACTGGTCATCCCAGGGAATGGCTGTGCAGGGAAAGGGGGGGTGCATGTCAGGACAAGTATGATAATTGGAGGAGAGCAGGCTGAATTTCCAGCACAGCTAGAGAACTGACCACTCTGTCCTCTCCTGCCTAGTGTGGTCAGTTTTGAAAAGGAAAGCAGAGGGACTAGCAAGAACACCAGGGATTTCACACAAAGGAAGCGATAGAAAGAGAAAAGAATACTTTTTCATACAAGTACATAATACAGCAGGCACATATCAGGAATATGAAATGTTGGTTTACATATTTTTTAATATCCCTGTAATCTATTTTTCATTAAAATCATTTCTTACTGTGCTTTTTTGCCTCCTTGTAACATCTTCTGTGTGCTCCTAAACCTCCCCTTTCCTCCTTACTTCCATTTGTTTGGAATGAGCAGTGCAGTTGGGATCATGTGACACAACACTATGCACACTACAATTCCCATAGTCCATAGTCTATCTCAGGAGTGGGCCAGAGAGGGTGACTACATAGATCACAGAGAACGAATGTAGCCACCCTCCAACAGGAAGTTGGATCACAGCAGCAAAAAAACAAAGAATTTTGGAAATTTGGAGGAGGCTGAGAGCTATAGAAAGGACTTTTTTGAGTACCTTCTAAACTTAACTTTTGTTCAACAATCCCTGTTCCTTGCCGGTGCTGGCATCTTCTGCTGGGTGCCGGTCTTTAATCATCTTCATTGGAAGGTACAGTATGGCATTCCCGATGTCAGTCACCCTGGTACACGGCTGGGCTGGCGATTCAAACTGAGCTGTCCAGGTGCAGCTCATTTTACATGCTGAAGAAGGCAGTGAGCAGGCAGGTAGGTGTATTTTATTGCAGAAGTGACAAGAGCCTGCCTACTCCCAGTTTTGTGGCAGCAGAACTTTAGTCCACGCTTGTTCACACGCCTGAATTGCACAGGAACACATTCTGCATTCCTGTGCGATTCCTGAGAAGTGAAGTGCCAATTTCAGCTCTGGTTCGCACCCAAAGTAGTGCATACACTTCTTTTAAAAACACACCGCAACTTAATCACATGTTACTGCGGTACTATGCTGTCGCATGATCACTTGTGATCCACATTTCGGGTGTATATGGAATACATTGACACCTGTAGCAGAAACCACACCCATTGCATTATAAACATGGTTCATGATTCGTGCAACGCTGGTTTCCTGCACCGCATTCTGACGCGAACGAGCCTAAGAATATTCAACATGTTTGAGTACATTTATTTTAATCAGAGCTTGGTGTCACTTTAATTTCCAAGTGATCTGATAGGTAAAATAGTCTCTCTTTCTATGTATACATTTATGGATCAAAAATGTATTCTGCTGTTTGGCTGGAGCTGCCCTTTAAGTTGTTCTTGTTTTTTAGATCTGCATTTCTGGATAGGCTATATCAATCAAAATATGTGTTCTCTGGTCTGCCAACATTTTCAGCACATCACTCTCCCAGTCCTCTTTCCAGCACACAGTTCTCGTCTTCCCATAATTCTGTCACCTGATGCTCCCACAGTTAAAAGGAGAGGATTCAGTGCCTGTAATTCATTCTTTTTCAGCAACAAAAAAGATGAGGTGGATTTTATGACATGAGCAAACTTCAGGTCACACTTCAGAGCTTCCCTTTTCAGAATTATGAGAGCCGTGGACATGTTTTCAAAAATGTTACATAAACACCAGTGACATGAAAAGCAATACGATACTGTATCTAGTCTAAAGGATGACTGATAGCTCTCTTTCATCTCATGTATTATTTTCCTTTGCGTTTATCCATTTTTGGCAGACCACATTATTATTTCTTGGAATGGCACGCCTATTTTTGAAGAGCGTGTATTGTATTCTGTGGTTGGATTCATATTTTGCAAAATTGCATGTAGTTTTGTGTGTATTTAACTTGCATCATGACATAAGTTCTTGTGCGTTGTTGCACAATTTGCTGCTTTTCCCTTTATATGATGCTGCATAGTTTTATTGTAGCACAGTGTTGTACTGTGTTAGTCATCTCAGTAAAGAAAGTTTGGGTGATATCCTTTAGGCATCATGCCCATCGGTCATTTGCCCAGTTCTTCTGAACGTCTATCTCTCCTGGCAGCAGAAAAGCAGCGATAAAAACAGACACATGGAAACATAGGCTAACCTAGAGGGACTGGCGTTTTTTTTAGCTGCAATGTGTAGGAGGCCTTATTGGCCAACCTAAAGTGACATTAAAGTGGAGTTCCACCCAAAAGGGGAAGTTCAGCTTTAATGCTTTGACCCTTGCTCCCCATTAAGGATTGGCACTTTTGAGGAGCGGGAGGGGGAATTTGACAGGTACCCACTCCCAATGCGATGGCCTAGGCAATCGGAAGCAGAAGTTGTCCTCCCTGACATGTGACAGGTCCCAGAAGACTACGGGGCCATTCATAAAGTGCAGCGCTTCTCGCATGCGCAGTGGGCATATGTCTGTGAAGCTGCAAGCTGTCACAGACAGGTGCCCACATTAAAGATGCCGGTGCCAGGGAGAGAAGACAGCCAATGAAACCAGCCATGGTGAGGACACCGCTGGACCAAGGGACAGGTAAGTGGCTGTATTTTAAAAGTCAGCAGCTACAGTTTTTTGTAGCTTCTGACTTTTTTTTTTTTTTCAGCTGGAATTCCGCTTTAAGTTTATTTTTTCCATAAAACAGATACAAACAACATACTTACATGTATTCTAGACATATGCGTTTTCATTTCAATTAGTTTGTTCGGATGAAAATTTCATTCGGATAATGCAATAGTAGTTCGGGCCCATAGAGAAATTCAATTTTGAAAATCTGTTCGATAATTCAAATTCAGATAATGAATGGATCCAAATTTCATTCCATTTGTTCATTCGGATGTACATGTTGCCATTCAATATTTTCCAGTCAGCTCATGCCATTTCTTTTGGAGGGCTGGACTAGCATCCGAAAATATGGAATCCTTCTGATTCAAATCCATCTAATTCAATAATATATTCAATATGTAGCAATCTTCTGGAAAAAGTGCAATATTTTTCAAATCCACCCAGACCAACAAATATATGCAACGAATGCCGACGATACGAAACTAATTTCAAAAACGAATTAGGTCAATAATATAACAAATATGATTAAACAATGTTCTCCAATGAACGCATGCATCTGAAATGAAATGAAAATTTCTGGCATGCACATGTCTAATGTATTCTCTTTTTTTACATAGAAAATTTCTTCTTTCCTGTTTACTTTTTAAGTTGCCCTCAGCCACGCTGACACACTTTCCTGTTCTATGTCTGCCCATTGTGCTCCAACACCTATGGAATCCCTTGTGAGCTTCCTGTATGCAGTGCTTCCCCCATAGGAGCTGGAGAAAGATCCCCAGGGTTCCTTTCCCAGTAGTTGCCCCACAGCCAGACACATGGTCAAAGTCACTCTTTGGGTCAATGAACAGTCCAGGGTTTTTCTCTTTTTGGTGTTTTTATTTCTGGGTAACTTGGATGGGGGTATGGTATTGGGTGGGTTACGCCAAAACTATGTACAAATAGGAGAAAAGTTTCTCTTCTGTAGAACTTTAAGCCAAGTCCTTGCACAATTAAAGGGATGGACAAAGTGTTATATTAGCAACTTGAAGAGATTATTCTTCCTCTCTGGACTGTCCAAGCAAAATCCTTTCACTAAGAATTAAATAGACTGAGCTCTTCAGGACACTGAGCACTATGTCCCCTTTACAGCTGACTCTTTAACATCAGAGAGGTGTGACAACAGCATACAGTCCCTAGGATCCCTCACAATTGGCTGCAATCACAAATGTCTTCAGATGATTGGCTGCCTCCTTCCATGCCTTCCAGACACTTTCTCACTGTGATACCAACCAGACTAGATCCACAGATGGCAGGCCCCTCAGTCAGCTTCAGCAACTTTTGGCAAAACCTGGCCCTCCAGCTCACCCAGCATACACATGGCACATGAACAGCATACACATGGCACATGAGCCCAGGGGACAATAAGCCCCCCCACACAGTGATCTTCTCTGCATGGACAACACACTTCTGTTCCAGGTCTCAAATTATTTATATACTTTCCCAGCAACCATCTGTGCACTCTTCCCAAGGATTGGCTGAGACAGTATACATAGATAGTATAAATATTCATGTTGCCCATTTGCCTTTCTCTACATCTATGTTCCAGAACCACCCTGAGAGTTCTAGACTGCAGGAGGAGTAATCAAACTTTCATTCTGTGAAATACAGAACAGACCTAAACAATCAGAAACAGGCACACCGATTCCAGTGAGCCCAGAACTAAAATTACTTAACAGCAAATGCAGCTCCAATGGATACAGTGAACCAGAAGTAAGTGTACCTAAACCTAGCACATATTTAGGAGGGTGCTACACTCAACCCCTGACAAAAATAGGCCACGTCCTCATTGGCCTGAGTTTGACAGCTACTGTCAAAAGTACCCTGCAAAAAAAAAATCATAGTATCCCAATACAAGGAGGGGGTAAGGGAGGTTAACAATGAACAAAAACTATGTGGCATTTCCCGTATTGGCAAAAACAATGTAATTACAGTATAAATTAGCAGAACAAAAGTTTTTTAGTACAAAAAACATATACACAATATCTATACAACCTATCTGGTAGAGCCCTACCACTATTCAAAGTACAAGCAAATTGTACCCTCCACTAAAAAGAAGAGGGGTTTGGCTGCATACTAACAAACATCAAGCAATTATATACATTTATCTATCTAGCAGGGGCTGTCAGGGGCACACCGGGCAGGACTCCGGGCAGCGGCACACCGGGCAGGACTCCGGGCAGCGGCACACCGGGCAGGGGCACACCGGGCAGAGGCACACCGGGCAGGGGCACACCGGGCAAAGGCACATCGGGCAAAGGCACATCGGGCAGGACTCGGGCAGAGGCACATCGGGCTGGACTCCGGGCAGAGGCACATCGGGCTGGACTCCGGCAGAGGCACACCCCCAGATGGAGTGACAGGTCTCGGGCCCCCAGGCGGAGCGGCGGGCGCCGGACCCCCAAGTGGAGCGACAGGTCTCGGGCCCTCCAGGCGGAGCGGCGGGCGCCGGACCCCCAGGCGGAGCGACAGGTCTTGGGCCCCCAGACGACGCGGGGGCACCGAGTCACCAGGCACGACAGTGGGCACCGAGTCGTCTGGCAAGACTGCAGGCACCGAGTTCGTCTGGCAAGACTGCGGGCACCGAGTCGCTGGCAAGACTGCGGGCACCGAGTCATCTGGCAAGACTGCGGGCACCGAGTCGTCTGGCTAGACTGCGGGCACCGAGTCGTCTGGCAAGACTGCAGGCATCGAGTCGACTGGCGGAACAGCGGGCACCGAGTCGTCTGGCAAGACTGCGGGCACCGAGTCGTCTGGCAAAGACTGGAAACAGCGGGCACCGAGTCGTCTGGCAAGACTGCGGGCACCGAGTCAACTGACGGAACAGCGGGCATCGAGTCAACTGGCGGAACTGCGGGCATCCCGAGTCGTCTGGCAAGACTGCGGGCACCGAGTCGTCTGGCAAGACTGCGGGCACCGAGTCGTCTGGCAAGACTGCGGGGCATCGAGTCGTCTGGCAAGACTGCGGGCACCGAGTCGTCTGGCAAGACTGCGGGCACCGAGTCGTCTGGCAAGACTGCGGGCACCGAGTCGTCTGGCAAGACTGCGGGCACCGTGGCTCCGTCAACTGGCGGAACAGCGGGCACCGAGTCGTCTGGCAAGACAGTGGGCTCCGAGTCAACAGGCACGACAGTGGGCACTGGGTCATCTGGTATCGGATTGTCTGGCCAAGGCGAGGGCTCACAGCGGGCATCGGGTCACCAGGTATGACAGCGGGCACTGGGTCACCAGGCATCAGGTCATTTGGCTTGCCAGGGGCACCGCGTCATCTGACAAGGCAGTGGGCACCGGGTCACCAGCATTGGATCGTCTGGCTCGACAGCGGGCTTCACGCTGAGTAGAGGCTTCAGGCTGAGTAGAGGCTTCAGGCTGAGTAGAGGCTTCAGGCTGAAGAGAGGCATCAGGCTGAAGAGAGGCATCAGGCTGAAGAGAGGCATCAGGCTGAAGAGAGGCATCCGGCTGAAGAGAGGCATCCGGCTGAAGAGAGGCATCCGGCTGAAGAGAGGCTTCAGGCTGAGTAGAGGCTTCAGGCTGAGTCACGGAAGGCAGGTTCACCGGTTTGGATACTGGCAGGATGGTATTGGTTGGAAAGAATTTTCGCTTTTTTCTGGTTTTAACTACTGGAGCACTGCAAGTAAACGCAGGTCTGCAAACGAATGGAGCAGCTGGAGACAGAGAAAAACTGGAGGATGGAACAGGAGAGGGAGCAGTTGCTACAGAGGGCTTTTTTTACAGGGTTAAAGGCAGGATAGGTGCAGCGAGTGGGAACAGGGTACTGACATGCGGTAGATAGCCAAGTATACTGGGCTGTAACTGGAGGAGCTGGTGGGAATACAGGAGTAGAGTTAGAAGCAGGACTGGTTTTTGTAAGCTGACTGAGGCTGGGTGCAACAAGTCTGTCCATGTCTGCAGTAGGGGTTGAACAAAGCTGAGCTTACACAAAGCCTGTCTGACCAAAGACTGCACTGCGTTTATACAATCTCTTAGTGTCTGTGGTGAACATGTGGAATAACGCTCCAGAAAGTAACCCACATCATCCTCTAATAACCACACCAGGGACTCTACCTGGTCTGCACTAAATGGTGGCAAAAATTCATCCCTGCATTCGGGGGAACCAGATGAAACCAAACTCAGCACAAACCTCAATCAATGGCTGCACCTCAGAGAACTCTGTGCCCTGATCTACTAGAACATGAGCGAGCCGTATACATTCTAGCAGTTCATCCCGGGTATACTCCTTCAGAGTCTGATAAGCATACTCCCTGTCATCAAACACTAGCAGAGATAAATACACAATCCTCATCCAGATCCATCTTTCCAGCAACAAGCCAAGATGGCTTCCCTGTGCAGCCACTTCTGGTCAGGATTTGGCCTTGGTGTACTGTCAGGGCTCCCAGGTGTGACCAGAGGTGTGTGACTGACGCAGGGAAACGCAGACTTCAGATATGTGATAAACAATATCATTTATTAACACTAACAATACAAACATAAACGCAGTGCAATACTAAACATAATACAGTGCAAACAAACCAACCACCCACAGATAACAGTACATACAAGCAAGCGTCGTCAGGCAGGCCGGGTCAATATCAATAGGGCAGGTAGGTACAGGGGGGAGCAAGCGGATATTGGTCGGGGTCACAGGCAGGTTCAGCAGGTAGCTAGCAGCGTAAGTACAGAGGGTCAGGCAGAAGGATGGTCAGGGTCACAATGCCAGGGATCAGAACAGGTAGCAGGCAGCGTAGTACAGAGGGTCATGGCAGAGGGATGGTCAGACATGCAAGGGATCAGAAACAGGTAGCAGAGAATCAGACAGGAACAGAGAAGGATACAGGGCCCAAGAGAAAAAAACAACACCAAGGCAGAGTCTGCAAGTCTGGCCATCCCTTAAATACCCCAGCATAATCATGTTCCAGGTGTTAGCTGGCTGAAAAGTTGAGTCATCTGATTGCTGGGAGCATCCGCTGGCCAGCCCTGGTACTGCAGATCAAAAGGCAGGGTGAGTCCCACCATTGCTGGCTAGTCCATTCCTGACAGGGGCGGACTGACAACTCATGGGGCCCCCCGGGCAATAGGGGATCATGGGGTCCCTGTGTCCTCGCCAAAACTCAAACCACACCCAAAAAAGCCTATGAAAGGTACCATGCGGCATCTCGTGGGGCCCCCTACTGACCCCGGGCCCTCGGGCAGTGCCCCAGTGCTCGAATGGTCAGTCCACCCCTGCTATCTAGTGAATTTTACACTAATATTTACATTTTATCCTAACTAAACACCCCTGGTGGTCACACTCGATCCTGACTTTGAAATCGTGGCAACTTCACTGTAAGTTACCCGGTTTCAAAGTTGGGATGTCAATGTGATTTGAGGTGCAATTTGTATAGACACAGATGTATATACAAATCGCACCAAACGTAGTGCATGCATTACTTTATAAATCGACTTGGTTGGAGCCACACCAATATGACCGCTGTAATTGCGGACAATAGGGTGCGACTTGGCATGTAATTTGCATGTCGCATAGCATGCAAATCGCATGCCAAGTCACACCCAGTGGGTCTTAATCTCTATACACCAATATTTACAGTCAAAAGGTCAAAGGTTAGTATACATCTACCAACTAATATTCACATCTTACAAAAAGCACATTTGTCGGAGAGCTATCCCCGTGAAGATAAACTCTCCAAAAGATCACAGAATCACAGAATTTAACCATCCTACATTCCTAAATATTAGATCCCCGTACAATGAACTACTGAAAATATTTACAGTTCACCTTAAAGTCAATAGTTCACATTTACTCGGTTAAACATTTACACTTAACTATGTTCTACTCTTAGCTTTAACCATTCAAACTAGTGTCCTGAGTAGAATGTTTGGTCCCTAATGGGCATAAAAGAGCACTTTTAGCAATATCACTTTAAACAAGCAACATATGTACATGGAAGTTGCCTTTTTCCATGAAGAGTCCTCCAGAGCCCTGGCAACAAAGCAGAGACATACATCCTGTCTAAACTAAGTTATCTAAATATCCACACATGTACAAGAACCGCTATGTCGTAGAAATCCCTAGCCAGGGACATTTAGCTACATAGCAACAGGAGAAAAGTCTTTCAAAGAATGTTGTGTGGGTTCTGGCTTCACTAATGAAAGTCCATAACTCAAAGTAGAAGATAGTGAGCTCCGTTGTCTGTTTGTCAAGACGTAGTGGGTGAAAAAAATGCCACAGCTGGCAGTAAGTTTTGGATTTTAGTTTTGGATAGTATAAGCAAGGATTAAAACTTATGTCAAGCTTCTATTGCTGTCCATGTGCTGGCTAGTTAGATTTACCATTGTTTCCATGACAGAAGTTGATGAGATATCCAAAATGTTAGCGAGCACCAAAACAAAAGTGACGGTAAATCTTCCAGTGAACATACTTGTTACAGTAGAAACTGTCTAATAGGAGAATTTCCTTCACTTTGTAAAGATTTTCTCTCACTTCCTGTAGTGTCTCCAAGACAAATCTCCCCAATAAGATCCATAACTGTACAAAATTCACTACAGAAAATTAAAAACCTTCTACATATACTTCTAAACCAAAAACTGACAAAAAAGTTATTGATTGTGCAAAAACCAATTTAACGTCCTAATGATTTTTCTGAGGCTTATCGGATAAGTAATTACCAACTGAGTTATACTGTCCACATAGAAGGCAGCTTTAAAAGAGAATGCGAAGGGGCGTCAAACGGTTGGATGTTCCACTCTAATTATACACTTTAAGACACATGGTAGCATATAACAGGAGAATAGAATGTAAGCACATATAACACAAGATAATAAAATGGTCATTGGGGTAATCTTCAGGCTTCAGTGATGGGCGTCCAGTCCCCTGGAAAAGTACTCAGTTGATCAGGTAGCCACCGACCTGAAGAACAGGGTTGGGGTTATGTTTAGATACTAATTAGTGCTGCCTTGGGGCCCAACTCCGTACCATTCCGAAGCCTCCAGCTGTCCAGTGTCACTGGAATATTAGTTGTTAAGTGAAGCAAAAGAAACAGATGGTTCCAAAAGAGAAAGGACAAACCCTTAACGGGAAGAAACAGAATTCAGAAAAGAATGAAAAGGAAGAAGAAAAGGGCTCCATTCTTCCAAGGCCACGGTCTCACAGCATCCACAGATTCCCATGCTATTCAATTTAGGGAGCTGTATGTTGCATATCCATTGACCAGGGTCAATTCCCACATGCCTGACCTACAGTATATGGCAATTTGGTGAAAGTTGGTGCGAGGAGAATTCTGTATAATACAGAGATATCTATGCACTCTGGTTGGTTCCTTGCGATTACATATGTAATCTTAAAAGAAGTTGCTCACCATGATGCTCTGGCTGACGTTTTTTTATAGTGTGTAGCAAAATTGTAGAGAGTTGATGCCACTATAGGTTAGATCTCCGTGGAGGGCGCATATTGAGTTTTTTGGGATTAAAGATAGTCCCTCCTGAGAGTAATTCCATCGTGGTTGAGATAGTGTCCTATAATGATGTAGACTCTTGCTTTGTTTTATGCTGATTTGATGACAATCAACTTAAGGAAGTCTAAAAATTGGGGAAATATTAAGGGTACATGCTTGTTATTCAAACAGCTTTTCCCATTCTAGTTTGTCACTAATGGTGTTTATATAAATGTTTATTGGTTGGTTTCAAATTTAGCTGTCCTATTTAATAATGCGAGGTATATTTGTGGAACACCTAATTCTGGACTGAATTTGAGAGCATACAAATGTATTGCAGTCTGCCTCCCTTTTCTGAAAAATTTCTGCCAACCCATTCCCAAACGCTAGTTCTATTCACTATGTCCTAAGACCAGCACCTATACATAGGCTTGTAACTGCGTATACCCATGAGAGGGACTGCGGTTCAAACCATTTGTGGTTTCAACCGGCAATTCTTGGCAAAGGGGTTGTCAAGGACCCCATCGCGCAGCAGTATGGGTTCTTACACACAGGCGTAGGTATTGGTCTGCCAAGACGTTGTAAGGTAGCATGTGGCAACTAGGGGACACCCAGGCGCACCCATCGTCCTTGGGACAGTACTAGGCAGGCACTAGGACCTAGGCTGCGCCTGTCGGGTGCAGGGCGGCCCCTATTTGAAAACCAGCTGCCTGCACAAACACTTGTGTGCACCGAATGGAGACTTTGTATTGCTGTTACCTGTGTTTTGTGAGTATCTTGATATGGATTGTTTGTACCGTGCTGCCTTCTCCTGTCCTGACCCTTAGCATGACTGGAGCTCTGCCTCCTGGATGTTCCCTTTGTTGAATCTGATTCTGTAGCCTGGTGAACAAGTGCTTTCCGGTGCTTAGACTCGCCACTCTGGGGAGGCTCTGCCAAGTGTGGATTTTTTTGTTTGAAAAGATACTTTTATTGCAAGAAGCGATCACAACAACAACATG